TTGAAGTCACTTGATGTTCAATCTTTTTCCAGATGCCTGTGACGGAGCAACTGTAGTACATCATTACAGCACTATGACAAGGGTCGATGATTGGCTTTTCTAAAGAAAGACCTATTCAAGAGTGGGAAACTCCTACTGTTGAAGAGCTAGCAAGTACAATGATGTGTTGCTGCTTCCTCCTCTAGGAACTCAGCATGACACAATCCCTTTATTCCTTTCTTTGTATCACTTTCTTTGATACAAAGCTGCTTTGTTCCTTGGAAGCTTCCTTCTATGGAGCATGGCTGACACGTTGAAACCTAAGATGCTTCTTAAGTCCTTCTGAAAATTGGGGAGAAGAATGCAGTAATGACCAATGCCATTTTTGTTTTTGTTGCACATTCAAGTAGCAACAACAGTTGCAGTTTCTCTTGGAGCCTTAGTCCCTTTATCCTTATATTTTCATACACAAATAGTGCCCAAGGTAATGGGACAAATATAATATGAAACATTGGTATATGAAACAGCTGCTTTGTCCTACTAATGGTGGTTCTGCACAGACACTTTATGTCAGATCCAATCGGAAATCCTGAATGCCAGATTGGCATTGGGATGGTTTTCACCACCAGCCCCTGGGCCCTTGTAGAGGCAGGAAGGAACCCTGATCATCCAGACACACCAAACCTGGTGCTGCACTGCCGGACAACCACCCTTAACATCCCCTTCCCATTTTCATTCTAGTCATGGCCACTGGGCACAACATCACTTGTCTATTACTCATTGGCTGGTGTGTCAGAGAGATTTGGGGAGGGAGGGAGTAGGAATTGTTCCATTCCTTTTCTGATTGCCATCGCACTCCAGCCACCTCAGCCATGTCATGCCCAGTGACTACTTCCTGAAAAGAATGGAAAGGAGACAGTAAGTCAATTCCATTTCCCCAGGCCACTTGAGCCTGGGGAATATAGGACCACTGTGTAAACAGTTAAAACTGGTTTCATCTTTAAATCAACCCAATTCCTTATATGGGACTGAAGTTGTGGTTTACTCTGGATTCTTGGTGAAAATCTGGAGCAACTCGTGACTTCTGTTAACATAGTTCAAGTCTGTGTTAACTGGTTTTCAATTTTAAAACATCAATATACAATTAAAGTATGTAACCATCCTATTTTAATTTTTAAGCATAGTCTTGCTCCATAAAGTTTAAGAATCTAGATGCTAAACCAAGAGAAAGGTCACAAATATACTGTGTGTGTTTTAAGCATGCTCATATCCTCAAAACGATTGCTTTGAGTCTGACAAAATTTGACAATTGCTGACCGCAAAAAAGTCCTCCTCCGAGCAGCATTGATGCATAATTTAGAAGGAAACTATTAAAGAGCACTGGCAAATCTCTGTATTTAGGGCTGGCGTTTGCTTGTCAGATCTGAAAACCAATGTACTAGGACCAATAAAAATAAAAATTACACAACCGTTTCTCATTGACTGCACTCAAGGCCCCAGAGATTGATTACTGTTGTGTGCACTCACTAAATGACAACCTTGATGAATGAGTTTCTGGATGGACTAAAGAGATCTTAAAATGGGGTGGGGTGGAGGTGTGCTAATGCTGAAGTAACCACAAAATCAATGGGTACTAAAAATGAAGAGACCACAGAATCAGTTCATACAAAAGATGAAGAAACCACTAAATCTATTGATGTTTCCAGATTGACAGCTACAGGAAGTGCTGCCAGTCAAATGGTATTATATTCTGCCTTTTCAGGTCATGGAAAAATTATTTTTGAATTACACTTCCCAGAATCCACCAGCCAACAGCTTTCATGACCTATATATCTTTCTTTCCCTAATAGATTTTAATGATAATATGGGTGGGGGGATAGAAGAAGTCATGGGAAAACATAGGAGGGTTGCTAATGGAATAGGATAGTATCAAACTGAAAATTCTATAATAAGGGTTTCTATAGAAAAGTTTTTTAAACATAGCTTTGCAGCTAAAATGTGTGGCATTATCACTCATTGGTTACAATTGTAGTTAAATTTGGTTGATGGGGAAAAATGAATCACAAACAGTTCTTAGAATGTTAGGCTTGCAAATTAACATAAATAAAACTAGAATCCACTAGAATAAATAATAATAATAATAATAATAATAATAATAATAACTAATAAAAATAAGTGAGCATATTTTGTTATTGGCTCCTTCAAAAAGTCTCTTTATATCCTTCAACTTTCTTCAACTTAGAAATTTCCCCACATGGACTACAATACCCTTATTAGCATTGTTGCCTGAGATTGATGGGACTCCAACATGTCTGGGAATTCTTGAGTTGGAAAGAGCTGCTCTAAAGCATGGAATCTCATCTTGAAACTCTGCAAGTCATTTTTTTATCTCTTTGCTGTCCACCTCCACTAGCATATCCACTCCATTGACTCTTTGAATGTTTTGTTAAAGGTTACTAAAGGAGTGCTTTATTTAACTTACTGAAATTGCCCATCCACTGCCAATACAAGAATTAGCAGGCAAGTATAAAAACTGATCAGTGAGTTCAAAAGTGGAGAATTCTTAATCTGATTTTTAAGTTTTCTTACTATATGCAGAAATACATTTTTTGCTACAGAACTGAATTGCTGCATCCTTTCTGCTTCCCCTTTCTCTGACGAGAAGTGCTGTCTACAAAGATCAATGATGGAGCACAGACTTTGCACACAAGAATCAGAAGTTGAAAATAAAATGAGATCTGACATGTTCATGATCAGGTGCCTACAGAACACCTTAACTATATAATTGAAAAGGGATGGGTAAGAAGGAAAGTAAGAAGATAGAATGGGTAAATATCAAAATTGGAAGGGTGAAGTGACAAGGGGAAATTGAGAGTGAGGGTCTGAGAGAGAAAGAAAGCGCAGCAAAGATATGAAGTGGGAAATTGGTTGCAGGAAACATTTTCACTTAGTTCTTCAATAATCAAGCATCATTACATGGGCATCATTCCTTCCTTCCTTTCCTTTTCTCCCCCTTCCCTTCCCTTCCCTTCCCTTCCCTTCCCTTCCCTTCCCTTCCCTTCCCTTCCCTTCCCTTCCCTTCCCTTCCCTTCCTTTACTTCATTCCTCCCCTCCCTCCTTTCCCACCCTCCCTCCTCCCTCCCTCCCTTCCTCCCTCCCTTTCCTTTCTTCCCTCTTTCCTTTCCTGTCTTTCCTTCCCTCCTTTCCCTTCCTCCCTTACTTCTCTTTCTTATCCTCCCTTTACTTTTTTCTCCCCATCTTCCTTCCTACCTTTCCCTCCTTCCTACCCTCCCTGCCTTCCATCTTTTCCAAACTTCCTTCATTGTCCTTCCTTTCCTTCCCCCCCCTCCACCTTCCCCTCCATCCTTCCATCCTACCTTCCTTCCTTTCTTTCCTTTTATGGCACTCAAGGAAAGAACCACATCATAAAATTATAGAGTTAGAAGAGGCCACAAGGCCCATGCCATCCAAACCCCTGCCAGTCAGGAACACAAATTCAAAGCACTCCCAACAAATGGTCATCCAGCCACAAAAGAATTCCCTCCATAGAGGGCCACAGAGACTTACCACCTCATCACATGGTAAACAATTAGTGTCCTAGCATGCTGCCAGGATACTTCCTCCTCTGAGCTTGCTGAATGGCATCTCATGACATCAGGCAACTTCTGGCAGGGCTCTGTGGAGGAAGCATCCTGACAGCATGGTAAGATGCCTCCCTTGGAACATGGGAGGTTTCCTGTGTTCCATAGACAAGGAAAGGGGGAAGCTGGGTGTGGATGTCCTGTCCCGTTCCCCCCCCCCCCCACCCCGTGGGATGTGGTGAAAAGTTCAGTGGGCAAGGTGGGGTGTGGCACAAAGGTTTTCCCCACGCTGCCCCACAGATTTGCCATGCTGCATGGCAAATCCCCTCCCTGCCCCACTGATTAGGTCCATACTGAAAGCAATATAACTGCTTGATAGCCTTGGTCTTTTGCTAAGCAAACAAATAATTCCCTTCTAAGATTCACTTTTCTTTCTTCTTCCTCAAACTTAACCATTCTTAGCAAGAGAGGCATCTACCCTGAGAAATTCTAACTAATTCTGATTGCCTTATTTACTGAAAACATATATTTAACTTCACTGTCAATTAGGGATTCTAGAAAGTTAGGCGAGATCTAAAAGAAAAATGGATGATTTTGGCAGTGATAGTTGGACCAACACATAAAGAGAATGTCAGGAAGAAATTACAATAGTCAAGGTTAGAGATAACTGAAGTTTTAATCAATGAAGTAGGGTAGCATGGGAATATTTCGCCCCAGTGTTGTGCAAAGAGAATTAATGTGCCTTTGCATGGAGAGCAAAATCACAGATAAATTCCAGGTAAATTTAGATGATGTTGACAGATGTGGGAGTGGAAATCATAGGACCTTATCACAAATATAGTAAGACCAGTTTTGGACATGTTGAATTTGAGGCTGTGGTGAGATAGCCAAATACATTATATAAATCAAATAAAGAAAGAAGAGGTCTTGAGCAAAAAAAAATGAGGAAGAGTGAACTAATATAATCATGGCAAAATGATGTCACATGAGTGTATAGGCAATAACCTTGCTGGTGCACTTCATCAATATAGGTATACTGGAATATATGATTGTGGCAAAGGAAAAAATGGGCTGTGGGCTGCTGGGAGAGAAAAGTGGGAAATACTCCATATTTCTAGTCAGACTGGTATACTTGTTTCCTTTAGTGGTATTGACTGGCACAAAAGTATTTCTAGCAATCATATTAAGTTAATATACTCATTCCAATGAAATGAATGTATTCACATCTTTATGAAGAAATTCTGCAAGAGCACCAATACATTTGTATACCATCAGACTTCACTGGCTAAACTGAATTTGTCCCATTTTAGAAGTTTCCACAGATCAGATAGATGCCATGATATATATTTTTGTGCATGTTTACTCAGAAGCATATATAAGAATTTATTTTCAGTGGAATGGATTTGAGATTTGAACAATTGGAATAATGTTATCACTTACCATAGTTGTTTCAGCAATGGATCCAAAACTGTTTATAAAGATGTTACATGTGACATTTACTGGAGGCCCTGAAAAAATTAGAGATGCAGATATTAAGGCTTGCACATATGCACAAAAAGAATTTCTCTTATCAAAATTTAGAAAAAAGCTAAACTATGATGAAAAAAATCAGCCGTGTTTTAGTAAGAATAAATGTGTTGATTAAATGATGTGAACCCAATGTATTTGTATTGATACTACAGAGAGCCAGTATGTAGTGGTTTGAATGTATGACTACGGTCCTGGAGACCAGTTTTAAATGACTAGTCAGTCATGGAAACCTATGGGGTGACCTTGGGTAAGTCATACTTTCTCAGCTTTAGAAAAGCAAACCTGTTCTAGACAAATATTGTCACTTCTTGTCAATTCTTGTCATCAAAAGTCAGAAACAACTTCAGAGCACTCAATAGCAACTTTGAAAGAGTTTGAAACAGCTGAAAACCAACTTACTAATGCCCTGAAAGATCTCTCCAGTTACTACAAAGATAGCCACCTGAAGCATAACCTTGCCAAGACACGTGTGTACTTTCTATGTACATAATCGTGAAGCCAACAGGAAGCTAAAGGTTACCTGGAAAGGCCAAAAGCTTGAACATGGTTCCCATCCTAAATATCTCAGCATCACCTTAAGTTGAACACTAACATTTAGGAAATGCTGTGTGAACTCCAAGCACAAAGTAACTGAATGCAATCATATCCCGAGGAAACTTACTAATAGTGCATGGGGTGCAGACCCAAAATTAATAAGACCATCAGCCCGGGCCTTGTCTTTCTCAACTGCTGAGTATGCCTGCCCCGTCTGGCATAAATCTGCCCATGCAAAGCAGGTGAATATAGCACTGAATGAGACAAGTAGAATTGTGATGGCACGCAAGGAATGGAAAGAAAACTATACGTGTCCGGCTATATTCCCAGTGACCATCAGTATGCCCTATATGTACTTTAATTCCCCAAAATAAGACTCTGGAGATGAGACTAAATTTAACCCAAATACAATAATCTTTGGCAAGTTCATCTATGTTCTGATCTATGGGGCAAATACTGCTATTATCTATGTCATGTACATCTATTATCTATGGCATGCACAGCTTAAAGTCTTTGGGGCAAATACGTGCTTAGGATTGCCTGTTTCAGATCACTAAACCAGACCAGACACTTTCTGGCTCTGCCAACGAAAGAATGGAGGGGAAATGTCCTTCCACCAAGCTCTGATCCAGAAGGGCTGAACCACTAGAGCTCGGCCTCTAGGGGGATCCCAAGCTCCTCCCCCAAAACTCAGCAAATGGAACAGTCCACCTCCAAGGGAGCAAACAGGGAAATGAATAGAGGAGTAAAAACTAGGCCGAGACTTCACAAGAATAATCACAGGATGTCTTAAACCTACACCTGCTGATAGACTCTATAAGTTAGCTGGCATTGCCACCTCACCCCCCAGATGTGTGACGGGAAGTTGCTGCCAATTGTAAGAGAAATAAGGTTGAATACTGTGAAAGCCACCCACTGTATGGCTGTCAACCTCCTCCCAGTAGACTTAAATCAAGGAAAAGTTTCATGAGAACCAACACTCCTCTAAATGTTCCTTCAGCAACAGCAAAAAATATACTTGTGGGCAACAAAATCAGGCAATTCCAACAGGATGGCCCCCTATGAGGGTCTTTGTCCAGGGGTAAACCAAGAATGGGCAATTTGGAAGTCTCTGAACAGACTCAGAAGTGGAGTGGGCAGAAAATGGCACTACCTAGAAGAATAATGGAGAGTAGAGACATCACACCGACAACAAAGATCCTCATAGTTAAAGCAATTGTATTACCTGTAGCAACCTATGTATGTGAGAGTTGGACCATAAGGAAGGCTGAGTGAAGGAAGATAGACGCTTTTGAACTGTGGTGCTGGAGGAAAATTCTGAGAGTGCCTTGGCAAGAAGATCAAACCACTCCATACTCCAGGAGATAATACCTGACTACTCACTGGAGGATATTAGAGGCAAAGATGAAGTACTTTGGCCACATAATGAGAAGACAGGAAATCTTGGAGAACATAATGATGGGGCAAATGGAAGGAAAAGGAAAAGGGGCCGATCAAGGGAAAGATGGATGGATGGTATCCTTGAAGTGAATGCCTTGACTTTGAAGGAGCTGGGGGTGGCCATGACCAACAAGGAGCTCTGGCATGGGCTGGTCATGAGGTCATTAAGACTGAACAACTAAACAATAAAAGAAGAATCCCCCACCTTGTGCGACTGTGGAGCAGAACAAACAACTCATCATCTGAATGCTTGCCCACAATGCCCTGCCTCATGCATAGAGGAAGAACTGGGTTGTTGTAGGTTTTTTGGGCTTTATGGCCATGTTCTAGAAGCATTCTCTCCTGATGTTTCATCTGCATCTATGGCAAGCATCTCAGAGGTTGTGAGGACCTCACAACCTCTGAGGATGCTTGCCATAGATGCAGATGAAACATCAGGAGAGAATGCTTCTAGAACATGGCCATATAGCCCAAAAAACCTACAACAACCCAGTGATTCCAGCCATGAAAGCCTTCAACAATACAGAGGAAGAACTGTTTAAAGCTACACACAATGCAGTTGCTGTTGCCTGGTTTTGGTCTAAAACTATTTAAATGCTTTATTTTATCAGTTTTAAACTTATTTATTTTTGCAGTGCTTTTGACACGAAATAAATAGCAACTGATACTGTATTGCATTCATCAATAACCACTTAAGTTGTTGGAAGGACTGTTTCTCAACAACAATATAATCACAATAACTGAAGGAATGATCTGTATAACTTCGACTAAGTAAATATATGCTCTGTAAGCCAATAATCAGTAGTGAGCTTGTCACTTCCAGTGGAACAATACATTCTGCAACCTTACAGTGTAATGACTAAAAAAGTGACACTCTTTTGAGTTAGATCTATTCCTTTAAGACAAATCCAATCATATATTACTCTGCTGACAAGTTAGAGGGGGTTGTCAGATAGAAAAAAGGGACACACTCCCTCAGGTATCTGTCAAAGACAGTCTAGACATGTTTCCTGCCTTAACATCAAACATTCGGAAAGGTGCAAGAAAGAAAATCCTTCCGAAAGCTGTCAGCATAGCAATTTGTTTCATGTGTGTTTGAACACATCTACCACTGTTTGCTATTCTTTGTCATTTTTCAAAATGGTTGGGAGCAAGGAAACAAAAGAAACATCCAAATCCAGCAAGATAGATTTTTAAGCAAAATTAGGAGAGTATTCACAGATATGCCATTCCGTGTATGCAAATGAGCTCTGCAAGGACGGAAACGGACTAAAAGCCATCACCTAAGGCTACATAAATAGCACTTTTGCACTTTTGATATGATGGAGATAGGCAGGGCTGGACAGACTATGAAACCAACCAAGGAAGCCTCCTCAAATAGCAGATTTTGGATTCTGTGAATATAAAATACAATTTTTATTTTTCAGTTTATTTTTGCATTTTACTGCTAGGGCAAATTGCCTGTGTGATATTTTTGCCTCCTGTTTCAAAAATAACATGAGAAGATTTGAGCATTATACATTCTGACACTATGGAGAGGGAGGGGATGCCGTTTGGTGTTCTCCTTTATGCATCTGCATGAGACTTTATAATATAGTTGGCCCTCTATAGCCACAGATTCCATATCCACAGCTTGAAAATATTCTTTAAAAATTCCAAACATCAAATCTTGATTTGCCATTTTATAGCAAGGTCAGCATTTTAATGTGCTATTGTATATAATGGGACTTGAGCTTCCACAGATTTTGTTATCACTGTGGGCCCTGGAACCAAACTCCAGCAGATACCAAGGGCCCACTTATTCTATTGATACAACTGATTTGTCTTTAGTAGGAGAAACAGGTGGATAAGTATTTCCATGAGTGCACAACATTCTGGATCATGCAAATAATTGGGTTGTTGTTGGTTTTTCTGGGCTATATGGCCATGCTCTGGAGGCAAATTGCCTCCAGAACATGGCCATATAGCCCGGCCATGAAAGCCTTCGACAATGCAAATAATTCTTAATTTGAGTGAAGTTGTGCTGTATGGATGGAGCAGAAGGTATGAAATAGAGGGGCAATGACTCACTATCAATAATAATAATAATAATAATAACTTTATTATTATTCTCCCCGAGGGGACTCAGAGCAGTTCCCAGGTAACATCACAAAACATACAAAGTAGAAAACAACATAACCATAAGTTTAACAAAACAAAATATAAGCATAAAAATTGTCAATCAAGCCATCTACCCAATTATTTGGCATCTATCCTTTTGTGATTTAGCACCAAGATCTCTCTTCATAGGATGTCACTGCTAGAAGAGCTTGAATCCAAGCACTAGAGCATCTTTTGATTTTGAGGAAAGGAAATGGGTTTCCTATTGTTCACATGAAGTTAAAAGGAAATTAAGGTGGAATCCATCAAGAAAACCCATGAACATTTCATTAACATTGTAAAACAAATATGGTACTGTGTATCTCCATTTATTCCGTGGTGTTTGAGTTCTCCTGGTTAATGTTATGATGACAGTTTTCCCCTTCTTTATTTTAGGCTTCTTCTTTATTTTAGCAGTAACTTTCTGTTAATTTGTCAGACCTCTGATGGAATTGCAGAAGTACTATTACTTCTATTTAATTACCATTTCTCAGTTTTGCACAACACTGTGGTCCCTTCCACACCGCTGTATAAAATCCACATTGAACTGGATTATATGGCAGCGTGGACTCTGATAACCCAGTTCAGAGCAGATATTGTGGATTATCTGTCTTGATAGTCTGGTTATATGGCTGCGTGGATAGGAAAACAGGCTAAGGTCATATTTATCAAGGTTTTTTAAATTTCTACCAGTGTCTTACATAGATTGTATATATTTAAGATTTGGTAATATTAGAATTCTGGTCTTAAAGGCAAGAATGAATAATGCTACCATTTTCTCTTCTCTGTGAGAAATTCATTGAAAACTATAGGTTTCAAAGACAAATCATAGTTTAGAATTAATTCACAGAACAAACAAAAAGCA